TCAAGGTCACTGCTTGATAACACTTAAACACGCCATCTTCATTCTGTTTATACAACTCTACTGTCATATATGTACCCGTTTTGTCAAAAGTTTTCGTTCCAACTCCTATAATGCGTTTTCTCCCGAAGATATATCTTGAAAATCATCGTAAAAGTATGTATCCATTTCTAGCGACGAGTACATAGTGGTGGTGGTAACGATAGTGACTTGTTGGTTCAACTGTTTTATGAGAGAGTGAAATGAAAAATGAATTGGATAGAAGATAAACAAATCTCTGTGGTAAACCTAAGCTCCAAGAGGTAACATCCAACTAATTTTAGTGTATAGAAATTTATGAGGCATATAAACTTTTATTACACCTGTCATCATTGTCCGGCACTCCTTAAGTAGCTCGTAAATCAGGATATACATTCACGTCGATACACGTGTAATTCCTTTGATGTGGTCAGCTGCATGCCTTAAAATCTAGGAGGCATATAAAACAGGATTACGGTTTTTCTTTGAAGTTTACTTATTACGGCCTAATTGGAGGGTTACAATTATACTTTTCATAAATTTTAATCTGATTGCCAGCCACACATGCACCCGTACCTTTCTCACCCACACATTACACTAGCTCTTGCATAAATCTGAGTTGGTTTCATTTTCTCAATTCTTTTCAACTTTTCGGTCAGAAGCTTAGTTTGTCATATGATTCTAAACTTAAAAAGTATGCTCCTCTACAAATTATTTCCATCTCAGATTATGAGAGAACAATAATCTACCAAACTCATACGAGAGAATCAGTTGCAATTGTGCAGCAGCAGAGAGAGAGGCTAGCATCCTCTCCATTCAACGTCCTCGCCGCCAATCAACAATGGCAAGAGTGGTCAACGAAGAGTCATTTAATGCTGCCCAACTTTGTGCTCGATCACATTGACCTTCTTCGCCAGGAGCTTAAACGGATGTATGAAAGCCCTTCAATCCATCAATCCTACCCGACTCTCGAAAAGACAGAAATAAACGACGCGGGATACCTCAAAGAATCACCAAGAAAAATTTTACGGTACGATTGTGAATCCATACCCCTTTACGAGAACCAAGAGGGATCAATTCGTAATTATGCTGAACGCGAGGGCTACTGGGACATTCAAACAACCATCTCGTCTCCCGATTCTACTGTTCCAGATCAAGTTACTCCATTCTCCTCTATTTTGGCATCAGAACTAAGCGGTGGAACTCAGAGTTCCATCACCCCAGTGGTGGACCTGGCTACTCCTGAAACTCCGCCTGTCAAGGCTTGCTACACACCGAAGAAAAGGAAAATAGAGTTTAAAGAGTTCTGAAAACTTAAGAAACTTTATTACATTTTCAATCTTGCTGAGCTTTTGTGTTGTTCTGTAAATTTTATTGAAAGAATTAACAACTAATGTGTACAAACTCTTTTTGGATAATTGACCTCAACGATGAATTAAAGTTTGTTTTGTTCTTTTCAATCAATAAAAAGGAAATAAAAACAAAAAAAAATTAATAATTTTAAAACGTCGGCATAAAAGTCTGAAAAGTATAATTTTTGATAAATTTCTCGTAAAATCCAACTTACTTATATCAGTTTTGTTTAATGCTGATTTCGAAAAATCGTAAAAGATAAACTAAATACTCTTTCTTAGATTTTTACTAATGATGTTAAAACGAAAAACTGTAAAAAATATTTTGTTATATTTTTCATAATAGCTTATAGTTAATTTAAAATTATAAATATTAAGACAGAAAGAGATAAAGAGAGAGAGAGAGAGAGAGAGAGAGAGAGAGATCTGACGATCCATAAACCCCAATAATATCCCTTTTGGGATATAACTTTTTCAAAAGAAAGCTATTTATGGATGGGTCCAGCAATTCTGCCGGTTAATCAACCATAGTTACTTTTGGCTCTTTACACCCTCTATTTTTTTCTCTTTCTCTCTAATATGCCTACAGCCTGGTGGGGTTAGCCAGGACTCTTAGGAGCAAACTTTAGAGAGTTTATGAGCCAGATATATAATAAAATCACACGTCTACAACAGATTTTTTGCGTTTAAAAATACTCATTTTCAGGTAAAAATGGTTAAAAAATTCAAAATATGTTGTTTTCCTAGATTTTTGAACATAGGTTGCAACCCTGTCCAAAACATTACGACAAATTGATTGTACCAAGTTTCATTGGCTTGGAGACAAAAATTTTTTTTGTAACTTTGATTTTTTTCCAGATAGAAAAGCAGAATTTTCAGATAAAATCACAATATTACAACCTCAATCTAGCCTCAATAGACCACCAATCGCATCAATCGCACGCTAGATCATGTCCAGGACTTAATTAGCATTCAGGTAACCTTCATAACGTCAATGTCATGCTTCTATCAAAGTTTAAACAGAATAAAACAAATTTAACCAAAAAATGAGGTAAAATTTGAAAAATTATGTTTCTTTTGAAACTGACTGGAGGTAGAAAAATGAGAAAATCACTGTAATCAGAAATTTTAAGGCTAGTTTTTTAACTATAAAACTATTTTTCCTACAACGGAATCCTTCCAAGTCTAGCACGACTGATCTTTCCTTCACCATTCTAACCATTGATAGAGAATTGGTTTTGTCAGTTTAACATATAAACAGAACGTAATACCACTCAAGTGACCAATCAGGCTGTTGTTAAATTTCGAGGGTAGCATATAACACTAGGTGGGACCTGTATTATAAACTTCGTGGGCAAATCCCGCGGCATCGTGTAAAATTGCATTCTGTCGTAATATTTTTGAATCATTCAGGTATTTGTCCAATGAAAAATTGTCTATGCCAATAAGACCTCCATATGGTCTAAGTTTAATCATAGTTTATATCGTTTTTACTAGAAAAGAAAAACAGAGAACATGTAGCCAAAAAAAAATTACGGCGGTCAGAGTTTTCCGGGTAGGTTTTTTTTCACAGCCAAATAAATCTCGTGAATGATTTCCAAGTCCGTTGAAGTAACTCTACGTTTTTCCAATTTCATTTTGTATTTTTTCCAACACCGCGTGGACCTGCTGAATTTCAAGCCAGTGGAAGTGAAAGTGACCTTGCAGATATCACTTACTCAGTCCTATATCTCGGTGGTAGATATTTAGATAGATCACTGGAAGTTTTTGATATTTTGAAAATTTATCAAAACAAATTCTAATCATTCGCTCCACCCCTTTCTCAATCATCATAGAGTCAAAACTGATTGAGCAATTAAATCGGTTGCCATAAGTAGCAATGGTTAGATCAGTAGCCCTACCGTTTTTCTGTTTTGTATAAGCGCACCACGTTATTTGTAAGAGCTCATTCAAATAAAACAGCTGTTTATAACTTTGAGAATATTCTTTTTTTGCTATTTCAACAAACCTCGAGATGAAAACTTTATGACGATTGTGAATTTCACTACTTTTTGATCTAACTCCAGTTGAAAAAACTGAGAAAGTTAAATTTTCTTGATCAATATCAAGGTGTGCCAATTTCCTATTAAACTCATTTTATCTATTTTATTATTCAACATTTCAGTATCTGATGTTAAGAAAGAAGGTTGTTAGTGACTGCGGTGATTGAGAATGAACCTGCATTTCAATTCTATTTCGTAGGTTTAAATTGACGGTAGAAAATTTTTCGAGACAAACAAAAAACTTTCAAACTTTCAAACTAAAAACTTTCGAAAATTAATTTCCGCCAGGAAACCAGCATTTTGCGACTGTTTGTTAAAATCCTAGTTGGGAGGCCGAAAAAAAGTTTTTGGATCCTAAAATTAGGATCCCAGCCTTTTTCGGTGATAGTGCGCAAAGCGCTGGGAAAAAGGCAAAATCCTTACCCTTGGATCCGAGGCGGACCCCTATACTGGCGGACCCCTAAAAATTGGGGGTCCTCAACTGTAATCCGCCGTGTGTCCTTAGGTGGGGGGTCATTCCTAAGAAGGGGGGGGTCAAAAAGGTCTCAAAACCAAAGTGAGGGGTCCTAAAAATTTTTGACCCCCCCCCCATTAGGAATGACCCCCCCCCCCCCCCTTAGGACACACGGCGGATTACAATATTACTTGGTCGTAACCGAACACAAATGACATAAGCCTTTGTTACTCAAAGGTAGTAACCAAAGGTTTGGCCGTTTCCCATTAAAAATGCATTGGAAATGTGTTAATTTTGTCTCACACAAATAATATAACGAAAATAACGAAATTTTAAATTTTGGCAAAAACTTTCAAAGATGGTTATTTCTAAAATTTGAATTTCAAATTACCAAACATTGATCAAGGCATACAAAAACATGTCATACAAAAGAAAGAGGAGTTTTAAGCGTTTTTGAAAAAAGTTATGATGAGAAAATGAAAAAAAAATCCACTATTAGTATATTCAGAACTACGTTATACACACAAAAATTAAATTTTGTATGCGAAATTTTTTTTTTCAAAAAATATTTGTTTGAGTACGAAAATCAATTTGCGGTCAAAAAAAACACAAAAAAATTTTTGGGGGCTGAAAAAAAATACTGAAAAATTCGCCATCAAAAAAATGCTAGTCATACGTTTTCCATATATGGAAGTGGTATGATTAGCATTTTTTTTGACAAAAGTTTTTTTTCTCACACGTAAATTTATGCCAAAACAAGAGAAAAGTTTTTCGAAACTTCGACGACACCATTTTAGCAAAATGTATGAAATTTGTATGATTAGTAATTTTTCATAGACTTAGTTTATGGAATTGTATGATTAGCATTTTTGGTCTATGATTGTCAACCCGGGTTCTTGCTAACTGGTTCAAAATCCTAAGAGCTAACAATAAGGACATAACCATGATTGATTTGTTTCGCTGGCTACGCTCATAAGCTAATGGTTAGCTTTTATAAACGAACTTTAAATATATTCAGATAACAGTTTAACATTTTATCGTGTTGTAATGTGAATCAAATGACCTCAAGAGGAAACAAATACTAACTTCGATGTACTGAATTTAATTTAGTTTGTTGTTTCAATAAGATATATGCTATGATGTCTTACTTTAAGGCGGCTGTCTGTTGCCTAGGATTGCGTAAGTTGATTAAATGTTTTTTAAAGTGCGAGTTAATTGAAACAGGGGTGGATTTGGGGGGGGGGGGGGGGGGTTTGCCTTTTTTCAGGGATTCGACCCCCTGCCGACCCGAAGCGTCCCTCTATGGTACTTTTTAAGAAATCCATTTTTGGCCGACCGACCCTAAAATTGTTCTAAAGACGCCTAACTTTGAGGGGGATCGCGCGCCAATAAAAAACGTTTTTTTTTTACTTCAATTTTGCCTGTTTAAAATTTGCCTGCGGCGTAGAAAGTTTGGCCAAAACAGCGTCTTTTAAGTGCTTAAGGAGAGATCGGAAAAATAAGGTCGTCAAACTTTCGAAGATTTTTCGAAAAACCTCTCCCCTCGAGAGAATCCTAGATCCTCCCCATATTGAACCATAATTTTTGATACAGTTTATTAGCTTTTATAAGCCAGGTGAAAAAAAGTTGGAGACCGCTCATGCGCAATATTATGGGCGCGAATCGGATGAGCTGGATGATCTCTAACATGGAGCAATTGCTGCTTTTTTATAGTGTTCATATATTTTTTCTACTCAAAATTACTTGCACTTTCAAAAAAAATTTTAGGATTCCACAAAAATTCACCCTGAGACTTTACTGTCATGTAACTGCTCTAATTAATCTCAGAAGTGACTCTATTTAATTTGGTGAAAATGTCAAAAATTGGCATGAATTTTTTAAATTGGCATGAAAACTCAGGGCTGGACCAAACTTGTACGCATAAATTTTCAATGAGTTTTTTGTATTAGCTATGATCAATTCTAGTGGAGTATAATAGACAAAAATCTCGAGGAAAACATCACAATTAGAATCGGTTATAGATTCGTCAGTTACCTAATTTGGGTAACTTTTTCAGTTATATTTGTCAGCAAATCGAAATAAATATCTGTAGGATCAATTAGTCAAGCACACAGTTGGATGAAGGCTACAAGTCCATGATCTATACATAGATCAACTGTATGACCAGTGAATTTCCTCTAGCGAGTTTTTTTTTGGTTGGAGAGCAAACCAAGATCAGAGGTTACAACTTTGTGGTAAATAAAAAAAATCAATTATGGTTTGAAAAGAGCTTGGCAATACAATATTCGAAACTTTTTGAAGGTCTGCCCAATCTTTGGTACACAAATTTCTAGTTCGTTTTAGATGCCATTCTCGCAACCGAAGTGGGTTTCTCTGAAGACAGCACACCCTGGGATTCTCTTCTGTTTATACTCCCCCACAACCACAGCTTTTTCAATCAATCTGCACTTTGTGCAAAACTGAGGTAGATTATATAGAATTTGTTCGTAAGAAACGTCATTGAATTTTAAATTTCGGCTTTGCAAACACAACCAAAAATTTGTCAAAAAATAAATTTACGAACAAAAAACAACTTTTTGGTGTATGGAGAAAATACCTATCCTACAATTTCCATTTATGGGAAAATGCTTATCATAGAGTTTTCATACAATTTGTATGGAATTGTATGAAAAGAAATTTCCCATTTATGAGAATTGTATGATAAGCGTTTTTGGTCAGCCCGGGCACCTAGACACACTGAATTGTGCGCCCATCCAGTGCATAATTTGGCCTCGTAATTTAACTAAAACCAAGCTCGAACCACTTTCTATTTTTTAGACCGTTTTTTAAACATTTTAAAAAAAAAATATTTGAGCAGTTCAGAGTTCTTACAGATAATTGATACTGATTCTATTACTTAAGTTTCATTTAAAAGTCAAGTTCCCAGGAAGTCATTGTAGTTAGAAAAATATTTGTAGACTACTATTTTGAGGTCTAAAAAATAGACACAAACTCAAAATTGAATATCCTTCGAATAATTTGGGAAAACTGGAGGGGGGTTTAAATAAGCATGGTTAAAAGTCTTATATAAGTTCTTTGGCAATTTTTATAAAAGACAGTTCGTAAAAACGTTCTAGTCAGATGAGCGTTGTTGGTTTAATTTTATATCTACCTATAGGCTGGGTTTGGCGGAATCTTTTTTGTGTTAGTTCGCCGAAAATTATAAGTTGGTTAACACAACAAAAAGGTCAAATATATAAATCATTTCGCCCATAAACTGTTTCTTACTTATCGCTTCTTTTTAAAAGAATATTTTGCTATATTTTCAAGCCACATGGATTGCTACATTTCACTGAACATTTCGAGCAGATTTTAGCAGATTTTAAATCACATGAAAGGGGCGTAGTTTTTTGTTTTTAAAAATGTAGTTTTCGAAACTTTTTTTAAGAAAAATTCTCTTTTTCCACTTTAGATGCAATTGCAAAATTTGATTCATGCATCTGTTGGTGGATGAAATCAAGGAAAAAGGAAAAAAGATTTGTTATTTATTGGGAAAATCATATTCAAATGGCATGCTAACCAAAACTGCTAGTGATGTAGTTCCCTGTGCTGTATGTGAGCTAGTAAAACAAACTCACATACAGCACAGGGAACTTGCAGTTACGAACACAAACGTGACAAGCCAACCTTTTTTTTTAAAAAATAAGAAAAATTGAAACATCACGAGTGTTTTTGAGCTGAGTATAATAAGAAATCGACAGCAAACAAAAATGTTTTGACAAAAAAATGCTTCGATTGTTTGATTTCAAATTTGATTATCATAAGTAGGACTTATAGTTTAAAGTTTTCTGGTGAGCTGGATCAATCTGCTATGTCGATACTATCTGTGAATAGTCAAAGTTTTTTTTTAAATGTTTTCTTTTTTGGTTCCATAATTTTAATAGAAAACCACTTAACTTTTGGCAAAATTCTGTAGGAGTCCTTAAAGTCACTTTTGCACTATTTACAGACTTGTTTCTACTAAAAAAAAAAACACTTTTTTCCATAGTTATGATTGAAATGCCAAAAAAAATTGTCAAAATTCTTTGTCAGTCAGATGTTGTTAAAAGTCGACCAAACCTTGAGGTGTCGACCTTGTATCACATTTTTTTGCAGGGGTACCTTTGTCAAAAATTTTAGCTTGGGCGCATTGCGAGCGGCTACTCTTTTTTCGTGTCAGTTTTACCTAGTGTTTTTAACTTTAGCTCTCGATACTGTTTCGCCGGAAAGATATCTCTGAAAAAAGTTAGCAACCGCGAACCGCGAGATGATGATTTCCCCGAATTTGTGCTCAGAATGAAAAAAATCTATTTGCTGATAAACTGGTTCTCAATGACACAACTTATGCCCTCAGGTGAGATGAATTTGAAGAAGTCAATTATCCGCTTTTTATGATATTTCTTTATAACAATAAATTTAAAGTGACAGGCCGAAACAATTAGATATTCAGTGTCCAAAATCTAGACAATATTTGAAATCTAGATTCTTTGTATAGAAATTTTCAATTTGTTTTGTAGAAGGTCGTCCTAGTGTCAAATCATCTTTTTAATTCAACGTAGCAAATTTTTTTGAAAAATTCCTGAGAAGTTTTTTGCAAAATTGTTTTAATTAAATTGCTCAGGTTGATTTAGAGATGGGCTCCTGCTGCTTCGCTCAACTGACATTTTATCGTAAATACGGGTCATTTAAAGGAGTTTCCCCTCAGGCTTATGTGCAGTCGGTCGCGAACTTTTCGGCATATGAGAAACAACTAAATATTGTCCACGTAAGTATTCATCAATGTACACATCCATTATCAGATTTTTAACCAATTTTTGTTTGATTCCTCAGAAGTTTTAGGAGATTTGAATCACTAGGTTTAGAGTAGACTTTTTTCACATTTTCGAATATTTGATTTTTTAATGAAATATTCTTCTTTTTCGAGTATGTAAATGTTTCAGGCAAAATATTATCGTCATTTATGCGTCAATGTGATATCAGGTCTTGGTTTTGGGCTGGGAAAGATGGAATCTCGAGGCACGATACACCAAGCACCATTCGTTTTGACTCCAAATAATAAGAAAATGATTCATTTTTTCTCTTATGGCGATATCAGAAATCAGCTTACATTTGATTGGTTCAAACTGAATGTACTGTGTGATGAACATCCGTGGATCTGTATAAAATATCCCCCACACATTTTTCATCATTCCAATCAGACAAAATAATTTTCTCGTCAAGTTGTTTTTACTGAACTCCTTAACTGTTTTTAAAAAAGATCTATAATTGTTAGATTTCACCTTTAACGTTTTTTGAGGCTCAAATCTTGGCCAAGATCTTCATTGATAATTTTTGCGTGCTTTTCCTCAATTAGCATTGAGAAAATCATCATTCTATTTTTCACACTCAACTATTTAAAAAAGTGAATATCATTTTAAACATAAAAATGCGATCTTTTGTCTGCCTAAAACTTTTTATAACAAAGTAAATTAAGATCTCAATAGTATCCATTTCCGAAATGTTTTGTTGGTTGTTTTTCGTATGAGGTGAAAAACTGGATACATAAAATGTGAGTTTTTCAAATTTTTGCAGTCAACTTTTTCTTCTCTATGTTTTATTCCCAAGAAGTTATTTGGAAAACTAATTTTCATTGCCTAACTTGAAACTTATCGTAATATTCAAAGCCTGATTGCTTGCTTTGTTCACTCAAAATTAGACAAAAAAAATGAAAACGGTTTTTCTCAACAATTTTCACATTTCATTTTCAATCTCGGCTTACAGGGCTTCAATACCCCTTCCAATAACTATTTGTACTATTTGATCGGAAAAAATCTTTTCTAATAGAAACCTATTTGAATATTGCAACACTGATTTTCTCTGCCTCAGAAAATTTTATCTTATTTTATCTTCGTTGTTTTTTGTTATAGCCTGGTTTTCTTCAATGTGCATTGAGGAAGCGATCATTCTATTTTTCCCTTTCAACTATTAAAAAAATCTTTTGCTTCCCACTCAACTATTAAAACTAAAATTACATAAGAAATTTCACATACAATTACACAAAATGTACCAGAGCTTTACTGAACCTTACAACTATCATTAGACATAAAGTCCCTTATAATTTTGGACAATTTATTATTACATAGGCAACTTGCTTCGAGACTTCATTCTCCTTTGCAGTGAAGAGTCAAATCTGAAAGTAGGGTGGCTTGTTCACACTGTAATTCCTGATTGTGAGGCAAACCCTCCTCATGTTGTATGTTGCTACTCTATACACTGAGACGTCGAGCTAGAATTGACTGTTTGCCAGATTTAGCTTCATATATAGGTACGAGTCCAAGTTTTCAGCATCGTGAATAACAGTTTTTTTCTACTTTCTGTATTCCTCTCTCCGTCTTTCTCAGCAAGATAGACTTGCAGGGTTTTTTCAATGTATATCCCCACTCATTTTTCTTGATTAGTTGGAAGCAGGTTTCAATGCAAATCTCCCAACTCTCGTTTTTTTGAAAAGTCAATGTAATTGGGACTATCATGTTTTCTGGATCACAGTTTTTAATTGAAGAGTGAACTGAGCAGACGAGAGGAATGAGATTTTTAATTTTGATATTAATTGAAAACGGAAGTAATCGGTATGAGTTATCATGACTTCCATATATATATGGAAATAGTATCGAATATGGAAATTTTTCTGTGAAAATTCCGTATATGGAAAACACTGAAGCGTCGTTTCTCCTAAATAAATCCACTATATTCCAGGTGGCAGCTGCTACGTATTATGATCTTCCCAGCTTTTAGTCAGAATAAAATTTAAAAAATACTATATTTTTCTGTTTTCAAAAAGTTTTTTTTTCGAAATAACACAGTAACAAAAGAGTATTGCATGTCTATTCACAATTCGTAAGGCTTCTTGGACAGTTGAAAGTTCTTTTTAATATTAATTGGAACCCATTCTCAACCAAGTTTTCCAGAGATTAGATAAACATTAAAACATTTATCAAGAAGTTGACTGTCTTTACACCTTGTACTAACACAGATCTTACTCAAGCATTTTTACATCGCGCAGAGAAGCATTTGATCAGCCTAGCGGAGCAGTTCTTTTAAATTCACGATTGAGAGGAATAGTAAAAGTGCCAAGTATTGCAAAAAAACGGTTAATTCGGAAAAAGTTCTAGAGGCTTTATCTTAGATCCAACAAGAAACTGCATCAAGTCAAGCTCAAGGCTCAGCATTTCTGTAAAGAACAAATATCAAAATTTGAACCTGATTTGTTTTTCATTGATGATCTGGGTTCTGTACTTAGTTATTATGTTCACCTTGTGATGAAATAGGAAACGGATTTTTTTGATTTTTTATCAGTAGTCTGCATTGTTGAATCTTTAGATGAACGAAAATTTTCAGAAAATTTCATTTCAAAATGAGAAGGAATTGCATTATTCAAAAAAATAGAAAATTTTATTTATTGGGTGAAAAAAAATCAAAATCAAATTTTTTTGATCAATTATTATATGTGTGAATCTTTTCAATATGTAGCAAGAAACAAAAGAATATCATATTGAAACAACTTTTGATATATTTTCATATTAGTATTCTAGTTTGTTATCATTTTCTTCTACACAATCGTAGCGCCACACCATGTTTTCTTCTACACGAGCGTAGTTTATCCTAATCAATCACAAAAACTTCTTTTTGTTGTACCTTCGATCACGAACTGTTTCAATTTTTATAAGAAACATATCTTCGGATAGAACATGTTAAAGATTAATTTTCTTCAAAAACGGTTACTTGCAGTAAAGGTTTACTTTTAAGAAAATCCCAAATCCCAGGTTCATCAAAAAATATTTTGTTTGAACCATATTAAAAGCAGTATTTTTTTCTCGATGATGTCTCAGACATAGCTAACTCCTTTTAAAATTCTCTCATTCTCTTACTCTCGAGAACTCTCCATTCTGAAAGATCTAAGATATTCTTATCACTAGACTGGTAAAGAATAAAAGCTTTGAGAAACTTGATAGATTCGGTATCAATTTCAGACTCAATGGAGATAATCGTTCATTTGGTGCATATTTCCGTGTTTTCTGAAGTTTCTTTCATGTTGAAGATAAAGCTGGTATAAACTCAACTGTAGAAAAATTTCGACAAAAAGAAACAATTTCCTGTCAAACGTATCTATTTACCAGCTAAAAGTAGGTTTTGCTTACATTCTCAAAAAACGTAAAAAATATCAGTAAAATGAAATCATAAATAGTTGTGCCAGTTTGATTTAAAAGCAAAGAAATTGTCTTACCAGATTGGTTGATTTTTTTAATGAAAATATGTTTTGCAAAATAGGATTTTTTGTTGAACTGAAGCTAGTTTCAAAAACCGAATCCCATTTTCTTAATTTTGATTAAATTTTTTTTAAGGGTTGAAAACAAAAAAATTGCAAAATATCTATCATCGACAAGTTATTTTATCACTCTCATTACCTTGGCAATTACAATTTGTTGTGAGATTCTGATTGGATTAAATTTTAATGGATTTTTTTAGGTTTTAAAAGTCTAGAAACGTTTAGAAGTTTTGACTTTTTTACAACCATCTAGGAGTTAATATGTAGACACTAACCTAAAGATGATTCTAGAAGTTAAAGATAAATGACATTATTTTCTGGGGTTAAACTTTTCTGTAAATTTCACTTTTCTTTGGATGTTTTTTGCTTTAGATTTTCAGTTTCTGATTATTTACAAATTTCTAAAACAAATTCTAAAAACACCGTCTATGCTCTGTTCAAAAGCTTTCGTCTACACAGACGGTTGGATAAGCTTTTTTGGAAAGAACTCGAAAACATTAAAACCTCAAAGCTTGAATCTGATTGATTGAAAACTGTTAATTTTTTATTGGTGGTTAAGGTTCGATCAATATTGATCGTGCCAGTTAGTCTATTATAACTTTCATATATCAAATTTACAGTATTTTATTATAAACGCTTTCTAAGATACAATTTTACGTAAGTTTTTTACCCGGTCGTAATAAATTATCCAAGATTGTTTTGCATGATGCAAAATTGAATTTCATTTTTTCAACAAGTTTTCAAAGTGTTAAATAGGTTTTTTATGAAATGCGAAAGTCGTTTTGCATCTTTTAACAAGTGTGGGAAAATTTTTAGCAAAAGTTTTCTTCATTCAAATTTACTGCTTTAAACTCACTGCTTAAAAAACTTCGGACAATTCGAAAATTATTGCTTAGAACTTCCCGCTGTTGATAATTTCCAGTGAGATTCCCTTTCTATTTAATGTTTTTGATCGAAAATAAAGAAAAAATGTCAAAATTTTTTAAATAAAAAAAATGCAAAAAAACGAATGACAATTGTTTAAAATGCAAAATTTTTTACTGAATTTTGTGTTAGTAAGTGAAATACTCTTTGATTCATTAACATAAGTGCTGAACAAACTTTGAAAAGTTTTGCATGAAGCAAAAATTTTTCATCATGTGTGCAGAAAAGGTATCACATTTTTCATCAAGCGTGCAAAAAATGTTGTGACTATTTTAAGAAAAAAACAGTGTTCCTAATTTTTATAAGATGTTCGCAAAAAAAAATGTCAAATAAACTTGCATATGGTGAAAAAATTTTCCACAAACTTCTGTCTCTTGATATAGTCTTTGATTTGTTTGTTGCTTCATTTTAAAACATAATTACTTGATAAAATTAAAAATTACGAAGCACCAAACACAATTCAAATTAATTAAAAACGAAAGAGCCGTCAAGCAGCTGAGTTTTTTAAAATTTGCTAGATTATTTTGGTGTGCAAAGCTGGTCTTGCCTCCCTTGGCGGTGGTTCTTTTGGTGATCGCTCACTGGAGTTCTTTGTTCACCTCATCCTTTTCGGTTGTTCACTCCACTGATCCTTCTTCTTCCAACGGAAAGGGCAAATCTTTCACAGTTTGAGCCACATATCTGGAGTCACGAAGCTCGGGATAACTCATCTCTTTTGTTTTGCAATCTCTGACCTTTTTTGATGAAGTTCACTGAAGCCTCTCCTAATGACTTCAATCATGGGCCACATTTGAGTTGGGAGTTTCAATTAACTTTACAAAATTTAACTTTACAAAATTGGCTCATTTTGTGAAAATTCCTAACCATTCAGAAATAAACTTCCAATTTAGGAACTTTTCAGACATAAATTTTTCCAATCCGAAAAATGTTTTTTTTTGTTATTGTTTTCGTATCCAATTTTATTTACT